TACAGACATGGTACAGGAGATGGTTAGAGGCTGCGGACATACTACAGGAGATGGTTAGAGGCTGTAGACATGGTACAGGAGATGGTTAGGGGCTGCGGACATACAGTAGTACAGATGATGGTTAGGGGTTGCAAACATGATACGGTTAAAATCTCAACACCAGTCACCACTGTCTGGTGCCTGTGTGCCTCCTCAGCAGCAGCAGCATGTAGTTCTTCTGACTCCTGCTGAGTGACACTGACCAGGCTCTCCTGCGTCCACTACCCCAACCAGTTCTCTGCTCTGTCTCCTGGCTGTCGCTTACTCATAAAGCACGCCATGACATCACTGTGCACCCCCACCCAAGCCCCTCCTGTTTTTTTCCCATCCAGTCCTCCACTCCGGCTCCTGGCTGTTGCTTATTCATAAAAAGGTGCCAAGCGGTGACATGACGTGCCCGCCCCCCCACCTGATCTCAGCTGAGCTTGCCCGATCCAGCTCAGTGCATACGCAGTGCGAAAGTCAGCCAAAGGCTATTTTTTTTTAACAGACAGCCGCTGTCCATAAATGGATATTTACAGACAGGCCGTAAATGGTTAACATTTACAGACTCTATAAATTTATGGATGGTTGGCAACCCTGTTTTCAGCTCCAAGAACCCAGACTGCTCCAGTCTGCTCCTAAAAACTGGCCAAATCTATCTTATAATAAGCAGCTGCAAGGAACAGACTAAAGGAAACAGCAGAAGGCGCTAACTAAGTGCAGTATTTGGGAAAAGATTTTTATTAAAAATAACAAGTGGCAGCTCACAAAGTGCATGAGGATAAGAGCATGTCTTCCACCCAGTGCGGTTAACTGTTGAGCCTCAGTGTGTCTTTAGGAGCCAGGCAGAAGATGCCAGACGCTGTGTAGGACACCAGAATCGAAACCAAAAATCCTGAGGCCATCTCGGAGCACATGGACTGCACAAGACTGGAAGTGTCATCAAAACTTCAAAAAAGAGCAGTTACGCTCCTCACCACCTGCTTTAAACCATCAAAATGCTGACCCACCACAACTGCCTACATTTCATGCAGTTTATCTGTGCCATGGCCATGAAGCATTGTGATTACAGTATGCCCCCCCCCCCCTCTCCATTTGGCTGTTTTTGCAGGTTTGGGGGGCAGTAAAAAATGTGGATCAAAATCATGTTTTTATCACCGCCGCCCCCCCCAACTACAAATGTAAAAAAGCTTTTACGTAACTTCTGATATCACCAATCACAAACTTAGACAAGTATGTTTGAATCTGATAGGTGGCTGTGAGATTATTAAAGGCTAAGTTCACCTTCTGAACATCTGAACTGTCTGCCACTGCGGCAGACAGACATGAAGTTTAAATAGAATGCGAGCATGCTGATTAGCAAGCTCATAGTCCATTCATACTCCCTCCAGCTTGCAGGCTGACAGCCAGTACAAAGGTAGGGGTTGAAATCTGGGGGGAGAGTGTGCAGGAGCCTGAAATTGCACCCGCAATCTGCTAATAAGTTGCATTTATATGTTTGATCTTAACCTTTAACGTTGTGTTTTTTGTGTTGGTCTGTCAGAAGGAAATCAGCTTTGGGTGTGTTTAAGAATTGTTCTCCTGCTTTACAAGCAGAGATTTTTTTTTTTTAATCAACAGATTATTGATTAAAAGGGAGTGTGTGTACTACACCCCAGCCTGGCTGGAATGGTTCAAGTGGGACTTTATACACAAATACATTTTTATAAATTATTAATTGTAAAAAAAATAAAGCTACATCTAGGCAGGTGTGTTGGACTGTAACCAATTTTCACATTTAATTCATTTAATTTACATATATTACTTTGCATGTTATTGTTACCTGCTGTTATACAAAAAGGATTACAAAATACATTTTGGACTTTACTGGTACCATAGAACACACCATTTATATCAATAAAATATTTGTTTTTATTACAATATCTTGATCTTTTAATATTGTAATAAAACAAATATTTGATTGATATAAATGGTGTGTTCCTTGGTACCAGTGCAGTCTGATATTTACTTTGTAATGTTTTTTGTATGAATATTGGGATGTTGGTACAAAGAAGAGGCAGTGATACTATAGGTTACCTGCTGGTAGTATTAGACAGCTACCATCAGGATATACTGTATATACTTCTGTATATTTGTACAGTAAAATATATCTCTATTTTTGATACAAATATTTATTCTGTACATACCATAGTTTTCCCTTTTCCCAATTTTGTACCCTTTCCCCCTCCCTTTTTTGTATGGAATGCCCCGCTCCTGGGCTGAGCCATTTTGTTTTTTTGTCCCCCCAGCCAATGCCCCCCAGCCAAGGAGGACATGGATGTTTTTAGAAGGGGGTGAATGTAGCCCCCTCCTAGATAGCTAGGGAGAGCTAGAGTTTTATTTCTCAGTTAGAGGGGCTGAGTAGCAGCTCAGGTGCAATAGTCAGGGGGTCAAATTTCTTTCAAAGGCATAGAGGCTCTGCAGTCCAGCTCTCTGGGACGTCCCCCTGCTCTAGAGTTTTGGAGAAAATTCTAGAAGCAGTGAGAGATAGTGAGGAGTGGCTGGTCTGCACTCTCAAGGGATCCTGGCCCCAACAGGAGGCTTGGCATGGAGCCAGAACAGCCTTTACGAGTGTTTGAAGCTGCTCAGCAGTAGGAGAAGGAGAGTTCGGGGGGAAGATGGAGAAGTGAGGGTGGAGAGCAGGAGCCTGAGAGGGAGCCTAGATGGGAAGGGGCTCACCTACAGGCAGGGAACCTTGGCAGGAGGAAAGCTTGGGACCCCAGAGCAAAGACCACTTATGCAGCAGGCCTGAGAGCAGCCACCAACCCAGCAGCAGCATGGGAGAAGGACTGATTGAGTAGACCTGCACCCCTGGGCCAGTAAGGGGAAGGAGCACTATGATGGGAAACTGGATTATTTTACTACCCGGGACTATCTTCTCTTAAAGTGACAGGCACTGGATCCCCTGCCCAGGCACTTACCAAGAACAGCTGGATAAGGAGTATCCAGGGTCTGAGGTGGTACTACAGGATATGCTGGATAGCTCTCCAAGAAGGACTTGATCTTTTGCTGTTAAAGAGACTTGTACATTGTTTAGGAAGATTGTCCTTTGTTGTCATTTCGCTTGGGCATTCCATACACCCCTTACCCTATCCAAGTTCTAATCCCCCTAATGAAATAAAGTGAAAAAAAACAAGCTCAAGGACTAGATACCGTCTCCTTGATGCAAGTTTGTGTGGAACATGCATGTTGCCTGGTTGTGCAGGACTATTGGGGGACCCAAATTACTACAGGGACTACATCAGTATGCATATCAAGATTTAAAGTGACACTAAACAGTATCCATGTTTTTCAAAAATAATCCATATACATCCATTACTTAACTAGCTTCCCATTTGGCCTATAATAGAATGATGACCGTGTGGAAGTGCTGCCATCCTGGGTGGACATCGTATGACTTCCTCCTAGGATCAAGCCTCACGTGCTCCCCTCGGGCCACACTGTGGGGGGGTCTGTCACCCACTGTGTCTACTGGACACAGTGGGTGGCAAATCAGTGTACTGGGCCACTGCAGATACCATGTGATTGCTGTGACCAATCACAGATCACACGGCAATTATACACAATGAATGGCTTCCCTTTAGAGCCATTCAATGTGTACTATTGTGTTGATTTATGTGATTGGTCACAGTGATCACATGGTACAGACAGGGACAATCACAGTGCATCTGTACCATGTGATAGATGTGGCCAATCACAGCTTAAAACTAGTACACACTGAATGAATGGATTCCATACATAATAAAATGGTTGCTTGGTCAGCAATCCTGATCACCTCCCCAGTAGTATAGTGTCACTTTGGTAACACTGTACTGTTCTGGTCACAGTATGAAAAACACAATTTAGAAAAAAATTGTAATAAAAATGAAAAAATGTTTAACAAAATTAAAAAAAATACTAAATTTTTTTTACATACTGTCATCAGTCAATGTCCTTGATCACCGCCACAACAGTTATATGATGACGCTGTGCTGTACCGGTGATAGTATGCAACTATGAAAAACAATTATATACCAGTGATCTTCAAACTGCGGCCCAGGGCACTATTTCTCCTATTGACATTTACAATGGGACATAATTCCTGCCACTGACACCAACAGTGAGGCACTATTTCTGCCACTGACACCAATGATTTGACACTATTCCTCCCACTGACAACAATGATGGGCACCATTCCTCTCATTGACACCAATGATTTGACAATATTCCTCCCAATGACAACAATGATGCTGCACTATTCTGCCCACTGACACCAGCAATGGGGCACTATTCCTCCCACTGACACCAATGATGGGGCGCTATTCCTCCTATTGACACCAACGATGGGGCACTATTCCTCCCACTGACACCAATGATAGGAGACTATTCCCCCTCTTGAAACCAATGATGGGCCACTATTCCTCTCACTGACATCAATGATGAGTCATTATTAATGACATCAATACATTAAATATTTTGGCCTAAATTTATGAAGAAAGATTTATGTGCAAAATTTTATAACAGAAACAAAGAAAAACACATTTTTTTTTCAAAATTGTATTTCTGTTTTTGTTTATTTAGCAAAAAATAAAAAAGTGATGATTAAATGCCATCAAAAGACAACTCTATTTGTGTGAAAAAAATGATAAAAATTTCATTTGGGTGCAGTGTTGCATGACTGACTAATTGTCATTCAAAGTGTGACAATGCTGATAGCTAAAAATTGGCCTGGGCAGGGAGGGAGTGATCATGTCTGGTGTTGAGGTGGTTAATAGCCATACAATCTAAATTCATTAACCACTTGCCTACAGGACACTTTTACCCCCTTCCTGCCCAGGCCAATTTTCAACTTTAAGCGCTGTCGCACTTTGAATGACAATTGCACGGTCATGCAACACTGCACCCATATGAAATTTTTATCATTTTTTTTAGGCAGATAGAGATTTCTTTTGGTGGTATTTAATCCCCACTGGGGTTTTTATTTTTTGCTAAACAAACCAAAAAAGGCTGAAAATTTTGAAAAAAAAAGTTTTTTCTTAGTTTCTGTTATAAAATTTTATAAATAAGTAATTTTTCTCCTTCACTGATGTGCGCTAATGAGGCTGCAGTGATGGGCACTGATGGGCGGCACTGATAGGTGGCACTGATGGGCATTGGCATCACTTGTGGGCATTGGCAGGCATCACTGATGGGCACTGAAAGGCAGTACTTATATATGGCATTGATAGGCGGCACTGGTGGGCACTGGTAGGTGGCACTGACTGGCACTGATAGGAACTGTTAGGCAGCACTGATTGGAACTGTTAGGCGGCACTGATAGGTGACACTGACTGGCACTGATAGGCAGCACTGAAAGGCAACTCTGATGGATATTGATATGTGGCATTGATGTGCACTGGTAGGCACTGATATGTGCCATTGATGTGCACTGATGGGCACTGGTATGTGGCATTGATGGGCACTGACAGGTGGCACTGATGGGGCTACACTGATCATCAGCGCACTGATCATCAGTGCCCTGATGATCAGTGCAGATGTTCCCTCAGAGGAATGCCGATTACCAGCTCTTCTCTCCTCACAAGCTGTCAGCGGGAGGAGAGGACTGCCAATAACCAGCTTTTTCTATTTACATGTGATCAGCTGTGATTGGACACAGCTGATCACATGACAGAGCCGACATCATCAGCTCTTTGCAGTGATCGGTGATCTGCTGTGTCCCAGGGACACAGCACACAACAGATCTCTGCGCCACGCACCCCCAAGGGCGCACATGCGCAGTTAGGGTAGGAGGACGTCATATGATGTCCACCCAGAATGAGAGAACCGCCTCCCACCCATCATTACATTATATGGTGGGCGGGAGGCAGTTAAATTGTCTCTTACTGTCTGAGCTCTTGAACCTCTCATTTTCCACCTCACTCACATTTGTTTGGAATAGGTAGTGCATGTTAGTCCATCTCAAGAGCAAACAAGAGTGAGGGTAGCTACAATCCCACATAGAGTGGGACCATGGAGAATGAACATAACCATTGAACAGGAAGATGGATAAAAAAAAAAAAAAAATAGAGAATTAGAGGAGACCGAGAGTCACTTTTTTTATTCTATTTTGACAGTAGTGTGGTTTTCAAGTTGAAATCCTTTTTGCTTGAGTGGTGCTTGCAAACCATAGAACAGTTAGGCCCCTTTCACACGGGCGGTTAGATTTCAGCTTTTAGCTGCTGTTAGAGGAACTTACTAACCGCAGCGGAATGCAGATAATGCATCCCTATGGCTCCATTCACACATTGCGTTTAGCAACGTTTTCATAACATAGAGTTTATGGAAAAATAAAGTGGACTGCGTCCAGGAGCGATGTACCGCAGCTATCTGTACATAAACGCAGGTAATCGCAGTACAAAGAAAAAAATAAGTAAACAGTTGCATTAGAAAAGGCAAGAATTTACTACCGCAGCTAAATGCAGCTGCATGCAAATGAACGTAAACGCAGATAAGTGCAATGTACAAACGCAAGTGATCTCTGTGCCAGGATTATTGGAATTTCAAAATAAAAAAACCTGCATTTACAAGCGGCAGAACAACCACCCGTGTGAAAGAGGCTTTAGGTTATGTCTGGGTAAGGCTATATCAAGATAATTATTTATTTAGATAAGGTATATTTAACCACTTCCCATCTGGCCGTTGTATAAAAACGGCCGGATGGTGGCAGTGCAGGGGCGGGTGGCCATTTATAAACGGCCTCCCCGCCCCCTGCTTGTGCGCGCTCCCTGGCAGCACGCAGCACCACGATCCGATCGTTGTATGGGACCACTGTGTGAGGTCCCGATTATGTGATCACTGATTGGCCAATCAGTGATCACATGAATAGGTGTAAGCAAGATGTCACTTCTGACATCATTGCTTACTACGTGTGAAATCAGTGCATGATCACAGAGATCATATGGTACAAGGCTATTCACAACAACCTTGTACCATGTGAAAAGCTGTGACCAATCACAGCTAACACAGTATTTCTCCATGGCTGCAAGAATGCAGCCAGAGAGAAGGAGACATTATTGCTTTTACAGCCTTTATGGGTGTAAAAAGCAATCAGTGTAAAAAAAAAAATCTTCATAACCCCCCACAAGTAGTACAGTGTCACCATGGTGACACTGTACTGCTAGGGTGACAGTATGTAAAAAAACAAAAAAATAAATAATAAAAAAAAAAAAGTAAAACAAAATTTAAAAAACGTATAATTTTTGGTTATAAACTAATTTGGGTTATTTTTTTTACTAAAAAGACAACTGAATAAATTTTGGCCAAGATTTATTTGCAAAAATTTATAAGAAAAAAACACTGTATTTTTCAAACTTTTTGGACTTTTTCATTTATATAGCAAAAAAAAAATTTAAAATCCCAGTGGTGAATAAATGCCACCAAAATAAAGCTTTATTTGTCTCAAAAAAAAAATGCTGAAAAATTTCATATGGGTACAGTGTTGCATGACCGCACAATTGTCATTCAAAGTGTGATAGCACTGAAAGCTGAAAATTGGCCTGGACAGGAAGGGGGTAAAAGTGTTCGGACTTGAAGTGGTTAAAAGAATAAGTATACAGAAAAAAAAAACCTGCCTACCTACCTTACCTTTGCACATGTTTATTTCTAATGCTTGATCTGACTAGGACTTCCATCTTTTAAATTTTCCACAAAAAATAGTGATTTTAAAAGCAATGGCTTTAGTCTTGGTTCATTTTAAATGCTGTACACCATATAGGCTATAAGTAGAGATGAGCGAATCGAACTTGGCGAAGTGGAATTCGTTTCGAATATTGGGAAGTATTTTGATTCCGAAAATTAGCAGACTTCGGATGCGCGAATCGAAATTTTCCAAAAATGGCGGCGACATGTGTGGCGATGGAGCGGGGATCTCTGGGAAGGCGCGCAGACAAGGCGCGCTGACCCATAATGCATTCATTCATGACATGTGATCGCATTAGCCAATCAGCAGCCAGCCAGCCAGCACTGTGTAATGGTCGAGCTATAAATTGCGGCCATCTTAGAATTCTCCATTAGCCTCCGGTCATTCAAGAGAGACAGACCTCTCTGTATTAGGGACAGAGTTAGGGCCAAAGAGACTTTAGGGCCACAGAATCGTTACTTAGGGACACAGAATTGTTACTCAGGGACACAGAATTGTTACTCAGGGACACAGAACTGTTACTCAGGGACACATAATTGTTACTCAGGGACAGACACAGAATTGTTACTGAGGGACACAGAATTGTTTACTGAGGGACACAGAATTGTTACTGAGGGACACAGAACTGTTACTCAGGGACACAGAATTGTTACTCAGGGACAGACACAGAATTGTTACTGAGGGACACAGAATTGTTACTCAGGGACACAGAATTGTTACTCAGGGACACAGAATTGTTACTCAGGGACACACAAATTGTTACTCGGGGACACAGAATTGTTACTCAGGGACACAGAATTGTTACTCAGGGACAGACACAGAATTGTTACTGAGGGACACAGAATTGTTACTGAGGGACACAGAATTGTTACTCAGGGACAGACACAGAATTGTTACTGAGGGACACAGAATTGTTACTGAGGGACACAGAATTGTTACTCAGGGACAGACACAGAATTGTTACTGAGGGACACAGAATTGTTACTGAGGGACACACAATTGTTACTCAGGGACACAGAATTGTTACTCAGGGACACAGAACAGAATTGTTACTCAGGGACACAGAATTGTTACTCAGGGACACAGAATTGTTACTGAGGGACACAGAATTGTTACTGAGGGACACAGAATTGTTACTCAGGGACACAGAATTGTTACTCAGGGACACAGAATTGTTACTGAGGGACACACAGAATTGTTACTCAGGGACACAGAATTGTTACTCAGGGACACAGAATTGTTACTCTGGGACAGACACAGAATTGTTACTCAGGGACACAGAATTGTTACTCAGGGACACAGAATTGTTACTCAGGACAGACACAGAATTGTTACTGAGGGACACAGAATTGTTACTCAGGGACAGACACAGAATTGTTACTGAGGGACACAGAATTGTTACTGAGGGACACAGAATTGTTACTCAGGGACACAGAATTGTTACTCAGGGACACAGAATTGTTACTCAGGGACACAGAATTGTTACTCAGGGACACAGAATTGTTACTCAGGGACACAGAATTGTTACTCAGGGACACACAGAATTGTTACTCAGGGACAGACACAGAATTGTTACTCAGGGACACAGAATTTGTACTGAGGGACACAGAATTGTTACTCAGGGACACAGAATTGTTACTCAGGGTTACTGGGGACACAGAATTGTTACTCAGGGACAGACACAGAATTGTTACTGAGGGACACAGAATTGTTACTGAGGGACACAGAATTGTTACTGAGGGAGGGACACAGAATTGTTACTCAGGGACACAGAATTGTTACTCAGGGACACAGAATTGTTACTCAGGGACACAGAATTGTTACTCAGGGACACAGAATTGTTACTCAGGGACACAGAATTGTTACTCAGGGACAGACACAGAATTGTTACTCAGGGACACAGAATTGTTACTGAGGGACACAGAATTGTTACTGAGGGACAGAATTGTTACTGAGGGACACAGAATTGTTACTCAGGGACAGACACAGAATTGTTACTGAGGGACACAGAATTGTTACTCAGGGACACAGAATTGTTACTCAGGGGACACAGAATTGTTACTCAGGGACACAGAATTGTTACTCAGGGACACAGAATTGTTACTCAGGGACACAGAATTGTTACTCAGGGACAGACACAGAATTGTTACTGGGGGACACAGAATTGTTACTGAGGGACACAGAATTGTTACTGAGGGACACAGAATTGTTACTCAGGGACTCAGGGACAGACACAGAATTGTTACTGAGGGACACAGAATTGTTACTGAGGGACACAGAATTGTTACTCAGGGACACAGAATTGTTACTCAGGGACAGACACAGAATTGTTACTCAGGGACACAGAATTGTTACTCAGGGACACAGAATTGTTACTGAGGGACACAGAATTGTTACTCAGGGACACAGAATTGTTACTCAGGGACACAGAATTGTTACTCAGGGACACAGAATTGTTACTGAGGGACACAGAATTGTTACTCAGGGACACAGAATTGTTACTCAGGGACACAGAATTGTTACTGAGGGACACAGAATTGTTACTCAGGGACACAGAATTGTTACTCAGGGACACAGAATTGTTACTCAGGGACACAGAATTGTTACTCAGGGACAGACACAGAATTGTTACTGAGGGACACAGAATTGTTACTGAGGGACACAGAATTGTTACTCAGGGACACACAGAATTTTACTGAGGGACACAGAATTGTTACTGAGGGACACAGAATTGTTACTGAGGGACACAGAATTGTTACTGGGACACAGAATTGTTACTCAGGGACACAGAATTGTTACTCAGGGACACAGAATTGTTACTCAGGGACACAGAATTGTTACTGAGGGACACAGAATTGTTACTCAGGGACACAGAATTGTTACTCAGGGACACAGAATTGTTACTCAGGGGACACAGAATTGTTACTGAGGGACACAGAATTGTTACTCAGGGACACAGAATTGTTACTCAGGGACACAGAATTGTTACTCAGGGACACACAGAATTGTTACTGAGGGACACAGAATTGTTACTGAGGGACACAGAATTGTTACTGAGGGACACAGAATTGTTACTCAGGGACACAGAATTGTTACTCAGGGACACAGACACAGAATTGTTACTGAGGGACACAGAATTGTTACTGAGGGACACAGAATTGTTACTCAGGGACACACACAGAATTGTTACTCAGGGACACAGAATTGTTACTCAGGGACACAGAATCGTTGAATTAAAGAGTATGTCAGACACACGCAGAGGAGTGGCAGAGGAGGCAATGTTTTAGGAGCGAGCAGACGTGGCAGCAGAGGAAGGGGGTCGAGGCAGCACTAGTCGCAGCCAGAGGCCAGTGCTCCCGGTGTCATCCAGCGGTCGTGTCTCCACCGACAACCCTGCCGTCATCGATTGGTTGGCTCGGTCGTCTTCCTCTTCCCAGGTCACCTCTGACACCTACAGCCAACGGTCGGTGGGTACGTCAGACACAACCGTTAGTTGGCATGGCCCGGGAGCAAGCCCACTGAAATCACGTGTCCTCTACCTGCCCCTGTCCTTTGGTGTTCCCTCACCAAGCGAAGTATCGCATGCTGTGGGCTCAGCCCCACTGTACAGTGAGGAAGAGCTAACAGAGGGCGGTCAGGAACGGGGGGAGACATCCGCCTCTTCAGCAGCCAGGCGAAGAAGTACTGGCGAGGAGAGTGGCTCGGTAGCCGGTCTAGAGACAGGTCTGTCTCCTGACCCACACGCAGCCGAGGGGGCTAGTAGTGAGGCGGAGACCCTAATTGATGATGATGAGGCTGATCGCACTTGGCAGCCTCGTCGTCATCAGGCTATTGCTTCCGCATCATCAGGAGAAGAGGGTGCAGCTTGGCAGCGAGCAAAACAGTCGGTGGGTTGCCCAGGAGGCAGCAGGGTCGCAGCAGTGTCAGTGGAGGCAAACGGCCACGGAGTAGAGCACCAGCTCCACTGCAGCCTACCACCACGGCCAGTAGTGGTGCCGGTGTGCACGGAGGAAGTAGCAGTCAGCCAGTGAGGAGTATCGGGGGCAAAGTTTCCTACTCGGCGGTGTGGCAATTTTTCGTCAAGCCGCCCGAGGAAGTAAACGTAGCCGTATGTCGACTATGTGGCCAGAAAGTCAAGCGTGGCCAGGGGGCCCATGTTGGGACTACAGCGTTGCGTCAGCATATGCAGCGTCGCCATTTGGTGGCCTGGGAAAACCGTGATAAAGATACGGCGGTTCTGCCTGCCCCAGCCCCCGCTCCATCACCCGCTCCGTTACTTGCTCCGTCACCCGACGTCAATCGCCCTCTATCAGCCAGTCAAGGCTCCAACACCTCTGCTGAGGGGAGTTGTCGCTCGTTGGCATCTTCCGCTCGTTCAGATGCTCCTTCTCCTGCTACTCCTCTTCACGGATTCCGTCAGCAGTCTTTCTTGGAATCCGTTTCCAAGAGACAACAGTTTGCGAGCACGCACCCGACGGTGCAAAAGCTGAACGTCCTCCTGTCCAAGTTGCTGGTGCTGCAGTCCCTCCCTTTCCAAGTGGTGGACTCAGCACCTTTCCGAGAAATGATGGCTTGTGCCGCGCCGCGGTGGAGAGTGCCAAGCCGGCATTTCTTCGCCAAAAAGGCAGTGCCAGCCCTGCATTCACATGTAGAAGAGATGGTGGGCCAGTCTTTGAGCATGTCGGTCTCTGCCAAAGTGCACGGCAGCGCCGACGTGTGGAGCTGTAACTACGGTCAGGGACAGTACATGTCATTTACGGCCCACTGGGTGAACGTGGTGCCGGCACAGCCGCACCAGCAACTTGGACAGGTCACGCCGCTTTTGCCTCCACGTTTGCACGTCCTTGGTCCACAAAAGATGTCCGCCTCTACCACCTCTTCTTCCGCCGTGTCCTCAGCCGCCACCCCCGTGCCAAGTCCCATTACCCGACCGGCATATCACATGTGCAGGGCGCAACGGTGTCACGCTGTGCTGCACCTGGTATGCCTTGGCGAACGTAGTAGTCACACAGGGGAGGAACTTCTGAGTGTAATGAACAGAGAAATCGACAGATGGCTGTCTCCGCGCAAACTGAAAATCGGAACCATGTTGACCGACAACGGAAAGAACATGGTGTCTGCTCTGCGTCAAGGAAGGTTGTGCCATGCGCCATGCATGGCTCACGTGTTCAATCTGGTTGTCAAGCGGTTCCTAAAATCCACCATCCCACTGCAAGACATCCTTAAAAATGTCACGTAAACTTTGCATGCATTTCAGCCATTCCTACACCGCAAAGCACACCCTCCTTGAGCTGCAGCGGCAGAAACGGAATTCCACAGCATCGCCTGATCTGCGACGTTGCAACAAGGTGGAATTCAACCCTACACATGTTAGACCGCCTTTACGAACAGCGAAAGGCCATCACCGATTTCCTGATGTTACAAGCGGATAAAGGTACTCCCCTGTGTAACTTCGATGTCAGCCATTGGCAGCTCATGCGTGACACACTGCCGCTTGCTCAGGCCCTTTGAGGAGGCCACGCTATTCGTGAGTCGGCAGGACTATGGGATGAACGACGTCATTCCTCTGTTGCACGTCCTGGAACAAATGCTGTTAACAATGGCTGGTCAGGGTGCGGTAGACGTGGCGCACAGATCTCAACGCCACATGACCCCTGTGGGGGCAGGACAGGAAGAAGAGGAGGAGGTAGAGGAGGACATTTGTGCTCAGGGAATTATTGAGTGAAATGGGTGGTTTTTCCACTCAGCGGACAGGAGTGGAGGAGCAGGAGCATCTGGTAGAGGAGGAGGAGGAGGAGACAGAGGACCCAGACGCACCGTGGCAGTATGCTGTGGAGATGGAGGCAGGGAGTCCCTCGCATTCCTTGGCACAAATGGCCCATAGCATGCTCGGTTGCTTGCGTAGCGACAGCCGAATAATAACCATCAGACAGAGGGATGACTTTTGGCTGTCCACCTTGTTGGACCCTCGCTACCGTTCAAAAATGGTGGCCTTTTTCACACCTGCTGAGAGGGAGGCCAAAATAACGTACTATAAAAACCACCTATGTAGTCAGTTGGTCTCTGCCTTTCTGCGCCAACGTCCATCCTCAGACACTGTGGGCCCTGTGCGCTCGCGTTCCGCTGCCATGGCAGCAGGGGAGGGGTGGGGTGGTAGGAGCAGTGGCAGCTCCACCAGCAGCGGCTGCCTCAGTCTGCAGTCGATGATGAGTAGCTTTCTTCACCAGCGCAGTGAGGAAACTACTAACCAGCCGCAGCAGCAGCAGCAGCAGCAGGTGGACCTGGAGCAGGACCTCAAACAACAGGCTTGGGCCTACTTGGACAGCACCCTGCCAACCGAGGTAGACAATCCCCTTGACTACTGGGCAACGAAACTTGACCTTTGGCCCCAACTAGCTGAATTTGCCCTTGAAAGGCTGTCATGCCCGGCCAGTAGCGTGGCATCGGAGCGCGTGTTTAGTGCGGCAGGAGGTATTGTAACTCCGCGGAGGACACGACTGTCCACCCAAAGTGTGGAGAGACTCACGTTTGTGAAAATGAATCAGGCGTGGATTAGTCTGGATTTCAAACCACCAGTTCCTGACACAACTGACTAAATCCGCCATGAATCATGCCCCAAACATGTGCCACTTTCAGGTCTCCTCACACTGCTGGTGTGTTCCATTTTTTGTCATAGGGTGCTGGCAGATTACGGGCCTCCCATTGCTGCTGCCAGGCCCGTAATCTGCCATGGGCCCCTGTACCGCCTCCTCATGCTGCTGCCAGGTCCAGAGTCTCTCATGGGTCCCTGTACGGCCTCCCATTGCTGCTGTCTCCATCGCCACACTCTGCCATGTGCCACTTTCAGGTCTCCTCACACTGCTGGTGTGTTCCATTTTTTGTCATAGGGTGCTGGCAGATTACAGGCCTCCCATTGCTGCTGCCAGGCCCGTAATCTGCCATGGGCCCCTGTACCGCCTCCTCATGCTGCTGCCAGGTCCAGAGTGTGTCTCATGGGTCCCTGTACGGCCTCCCATTGCTGCTGTCTCCATCGCCACACTCTGCCATGTGCCACTTTCAGGTCTCCTCACACTGCTGGTGTGTTCCATTTTTTGTCATAGGGTGCTGGCAGATTACAGGCCTCCCATTGCTGCTGCCAGGCCCGTAATCTGCCATGGGCCCCTGTACCGCCTCTTCATGCTGCTGCCAGGTCCAGAGTGTCTGTCATGGGTCCCTGTACGGCCTCCCATTGCTGCTGTCTCCATCGCCACACTCTGCCATGTGCCACTTTCAGGTCTCCTCACACTGCTGGTGTGTTCCATTTTGTCATAGGGTGCTGGCAGATTACGGGCCTCCCATTGCTGCTGCCAGGCCCGTAATCTGCCATGGGCCCCCGTACCGCCTCCTCATGCTGCTGCCAGGTCCAGTGTCTCTCATGGGTCCCTGTACGGCCTCCCATTGCTGCTGTCTCCATCGCCACACTCTGCCATGTGCCACTTTCAGGTCTCCTCACACTGCTGGTGTGTTCCATTTTGTCATAGGGTGCTGGCAGGGTACTCCCTGTGTAACTTAGATGTCAGCCATTGGCAGCTCATGCGTGACACCTGCCGCTTGCTCAGGCCCTTTGAGGAGGCCACGCTATTCGTGAGTCGGCAGGACTATGGGATGAACGACGTCATTCCTCTGTTGCACGTCCTGGAACAAATGCTGTAAACAATGGCTAGTCGGTGCGGTAGACGTGGCGCACAGATCTCAACGCCACATGACCCCTGTGGGGGCAGGACAGGAAGAAGAGGAGGAGGTAGAGGAGGACATTGGTGCTCAGGAATTATTGAGTGAAATGGGTGGTTTTTCCACTCAGCGGACAGGAGTGGAGGAGCAGGAGCATCTGGTAGAGGAGGAGGAGGAGGAGACAGAGGACCCAGACGCACCGTGGCAGTATGCTGTGGAGATGGAGTCAGGGAGTCCCTCGCATTCCTTGGCACAAATGGCCCATAGCATGCTCGGTTGCTTGCGTAGCGACGGCGGCCGAATAATAACCATCAGACAGAGGGATGACTTTTGGCTGTCCACCTTGTTGGACCCTCGCTACCATTCAAAAATGGTGGCCTTTTTCACACCTGCTGAGAGGGAGGCCAAAATAACGTACTATAAAAACCACCTATGTAGTTAGTTGGTCTCTGCCTTTCTGCGCCAACGTCCATCCTCAGACACTGTGGGCCCTGTGCGCTCGCGTTCCGCTGCCATGGCAGAAGGGGAGGGGTGGGGTGGTAGGAGCAGTGGCAGCTCCACCAGCAGCGGCTGCCTCAGTCTGCAGTCGATGATGAGTAGCTTTCTTCACCAGCGCAGTGAGGAAACTACTAACCAGCCGCAGCCGCAGCAGCAGCATCAGGTGGACCTGGAGCAGGACCTCAAACAACAGGCTTGGGCCTACTTGGACAGCACCCTGCCAACCGAGGTAGACAATCCCCTTGACTACTGGGCAACGAAACTTGACCTTTGGCCCCAACTAGCTGAATTTGCCCTTGAAAGGCTGTCATGCCCGGCCAGTAGCGTGGCATCGGAGCGCGTGTTTAGTGCGGCAGGAGGTATTGTAACTCCGCGGAGGACACGACTGTCCACCCAAAGTGTGAAGAGACTCACGTTTTGTGAAAATGAATCAGGCGTGGATTAGTCTGGATTTCAAACCACCAGTTCCTGACACAACTGACTAAATCCGCCATGAATCATGCCCCAAACATGTGCCACTTTCAGGTCTCCTCACACTGCTGGTGTGTTCCATTTTTTGTCATAGGGTGCTGGCAGATTACGGGCCTCCCATTGCTGCTGCCAGGCCCGTAATCTGCCATGGGCCCCTGTACCGCCTCCTCATGCTGCTGCCAGGTCCAGAGTGTGTCATGGGTCCCTGTACGGCCTCCCATTGCTGCTGTCTCCATCGCCACACTCTGCCATGTGCCACTTTCAGGTCTCCCCACACTGCTGGTGGGTTCCATTTTTGTCATAGGGTGCTGTATGGCCTCCCATTGCTGCTGCCTCCACCGCCACACTGTGGCTCCACACTCTGGTTTTGGCCCCGTGACTGCCCAAATGAGTGAAGTGTGCGGTGATTCTAAGATCGACGGCACTCATCTGCATGTCATACTGACTGACAGTATTATTTCTCTTCCCCAGCAGACTCCAAGGGCATTTAAATTAAAGGTACAGTGTTCTGCACTAATATGAAGGCTCTCTGAAGCCTAGAAACACCCTTTTATAAGTTAAATTCGCAGCGAATATATTCGCATCGAATCGAATTTATTCCTCGAATTCGCCGAATCATCTAATCGAATTTTTGAATACTTCGCTCATCTCTAGTAAGAAAGGATGATTTATTTTTCTTTATCATTTCTTCAACCATTTGTATGGACTTGGGTATTGAATTGAATGAACATGATTCTGGTATATTCTTTTTGTTTGTTGCTGCCTATTTTTTTCAATTTATCATTATAGTTGCTAATGTTATTAAAAAAAAAAGTTCAGGGACATTTTGCTGCTGAGCTGATGTATAACAAATCTAGTCTCAGTTTCTGAGGATGCAAGGTGTTTTTATTTTGTTAAAGTGTATGTAAACTCTAAGGCTGGCCATACATGAGTCGAAATTCAACCGGATCTAAGAATAATTGGCCGATTTTCACTCTGTTAGTGGGTCAATGGCACCAGCTGATTTTCGTGGTTCCTCCCCTTTTCGGTGATCGGGCATGTTGGAAAATCGTGAAAAACGACCGATTTTTTTCGACTCGATGGTCAAATCGTAATAATAATAATAATTTTTTCCGAAAAGAATATGCTCATGAGTTTTGACCTGGAAGGAACAGAAGTTTCGCCTGTTATATGGGGTGAACTCTATGACTTGATCAGCCAATTTTCGAAATCATTGATGGCACCATTGCATTACCAAGTGAATGACATTTTAGATTTTTGGACACAAAATCATTCGGAATTCGAAACAATGTATGGCCTGCATAAGACCTCATGCGCACTGGACATTATAAAAACACCAGTAGTGTTAGCTGTACAATGCTGCTTTAAAAACACAAGTTTTGTAGCATTTTGGTAGTATTTTGTTTGCATTAGCATTTTTCAGCATTTGTGTTCTGTAGCAAAACTATACTTCCACAAAAGCTTGTGGCTCAAAAACGTTCATAAACGCCGGATAGCCACGTTTTTACAGCTGAAAAACTCCTCTTCAAACGCAGTAGTTCTGTGTTTTTTTACCAGCCTGAAAATGCCCCTGCTAAAAAACACTGATGAAAGCCTTTATGTGCATGAACACATAGGACAGCTGGGGAGTTTACTGGCTGTAGAAAAAAAGCCTAACGACCAAAACAGCAGCTGTAAAGACACCCAGTGTGCATGAGCCTAAGCATGAAATTCCCTTCAAAAAGGAAAATACAAGCTGTATGCCAAAGAAAATTCAAACACTGGTAATAATACACCCGGGCAACATGAACAGAGTCCCCACCTGGGATCCCCTCCTCTGACCTCTGTAGTTAAGCCCAGTCTTGTGGGTGAAACATGTCAGAGGAGGTCTGTTTATGTTATCAGTATGCCTAAAGTTACAAGAATTTACATTTTTTTCGAAATACAGCTGTTTTTTTCCTTTTAGATTTTTGCAGTCCGTGCGGCATAGGATGAGCTACTGCTGTCTTTCAGCACACGAACTTCCATGAGGGTGACCTGATTAAGGCTTGATAAGTGCAAAAAAAAAAAAACCCTATTGATCTGGTGAACAATTCAAATCTGTCCTCATCCTCTGCATGCAAAGATCTTATCTTGGATATCAGAATGATTCAACTTTATGTTCTAATCTGAGAGTAGGAGTAGTTTAGCAAAAGACACTGGACAGTACTGACACCACTCTGTCCACGAAAATGCTGAGTTTGACATTCTATTATAATTTTTGATACCTGTATCTCTGGATCTATGGATGATTTTGATTTTCAGTTTTCGCTTCAAGTTGAACTCAATACTAGAACAAGGAACACCCTTGTAGTTGGGTCCTCCAGCTTGCTAGGCATAATGCTCATTATTCGTAACTCTATCAGAATAATGAGAAATATAGATGTGAATTGTCGTCAAACAACCAGGGTTAAAATGTTAAAATGGAATGTATGTTACAGCGCAAGGCCCTGCCACTATGTGAATTTAGGTCATGTAGGTAGAAATGCCACAAGGTTCACATTAAAGTGGTTCTAAAAGCTCAAGTTTTTTTTACCTTAATGCATTAAGGTAAAACACCTTCTGGGTGCAGCTCCCCTCCGGCCTCCTCTTATACTTACATGAGCCCAATGTTGACCCAGAAATGTACATGAGAGTGGCAGCTCTCCGATGTCTCTCCCCCCCTCATTGGCTCACAAAACAGCAGGAGCCATTGGCTCCTGATGCTGTCAATCGCAGCCAGTGAGCCAATAATAAGAGAGCAGGAGTGGGGCTGAGTCATGCTCTGTGGCTTGCTATTGGGGGCATTCAGTGGGGGGGTGAGCCAGGACTGCCAGTGGGAGACCCAGTATAATATAATATGTATGTTTTCTTTTTTTTTACATTTCCTATAGAATCACTATAAGGCTTTAATGCAAAGCTCCAGGGTGTTTGCTATGAGCGGTAAAAGCTATGCTTTAAGCTTTCTCTGGAGTTTGTAATCACGGATTGCGGCCTGGAGTTTGAAGTCTCAGAGTGTCTTGGGTGGGACAGAACCTTCAATCCTCTGTCTGGGCTCTGCTGGATGCCTGCAGCCTGTGTGAGTGTATAAGTGTGCAGGGTCGTTATAGGCCAGGTCTGAGAGTAGCTTATGAAAGTTGCATTTGAAGGTAGTTTCTGTACGAAGATAGTGGGGTGCTGCAGCCAGGTGAGGTGACCTACTCCAGAGATGAGATCCTATGTTGAGGGGACTTCTTGCCTACAGAACTGGGAAATTCAGGACAGCTGTTTGGGTCTAGAGGGACTGGAAAAGTCGAGGTGACTAGCAAGTCCAGGAGTGCTGGCGGAAGATTGAGTACCAGAGAAGTGTGAGAGCCTGTGGTCTGAGACAGTGTTTCTCAACCTTTTTTCAGTCAAGGCACCCTTTAAAATGATGGACAAGCTCAAAGCACCCTCTAAAATTATGAACAGTCTTGAGGCACACCATTCTAAAATGTAAAGTATTCTAATAGTTTTGCATAATGTGTCAACATCCAAACACTTAGGACACTCTTCCAAATCAAATACACTTTTGCACAATGGTACTGACTAGTGTTCCAGTGTTTTTTTTTCTCCCTACGTTTTTCTCCATCACTCAGCTAATGTGACCCCAGTGCTGATAGAGAAAGGCACGGGAGGGTAAAACAAGAATGCTGTGCAGACGACGAACTTCTTCCTTATCAACCGAATACATCATGGGTTGTTGGGATGTCGGTGGCTAGAAGGTCATAATGGTGCACAACGAAAACCTGTGGCTTTGTGTAACTAAAAGACAAGCTTGATCCAGCTCTGGCTTGTATGTAATTTGTGGGCAATTTTAGGCATTTTGCCAAGGCACCCCAGAGTGCCTGGGCACCCTGGTTGAAAAAGGCTGGTCTGGGAGACTGATACGAATATCAGAAGTGGGCTAATATTAGCCAGGTGGGCTAATATTGTTTCGTTATGTATGATTGCTGGAGAAGAACCACTACGTGGGAAACCAGCTTGTGAACTTTTTTTCCTTTTGAATAAAAGTAGGTTGCTGTGCCCTTTAAACACAGATCTGACTTACGTGGATTCGGATGGTAAGACAGATGGTATTTAAGGCCTCATCCCTGTTCATAAATGGCCGTTCTTTTTTTATTTAGGTAGCCTTTTTCAGTGGCGTCCCTAGGCGGGTGCGGGGTGTGCGCTCCGCACCAGTTGACACCTATCACACGGAGTGACACCGGACCCTCTCAACGAGCTCCATGAAAAGGAAAGTTTTAAAGCAAGCCGACAATCCCCGCAAGATGGATTGGATCTGCGGATTGAGCATAATGAATTGGAGTCCGAGCCATTATGCTACCCAATCTGCAGATCCGGTCCACCTTGCGGGGATCGTCGGCATGCAACCTATACGGGGGTTAACTGATCTAGGTAAGGCAGTGCAAGATTCGGGACTTGTCTGTAACCAGGAAATGCAGCCGCGGTAGTAGGAGCCTCCTCCATCTGACATCACTTCTTGAGCATGTGCAGACCGGACCGCTGTTGAAAGATCAGTTAACCCCGTATAGGTTGCAAGCCAATGATCCCTGCATGATGGATCGGATCTGCGGATTGGGGAGCATAGTGGATCGGACTCCGATCCATTATGCTCAATCCGCAGATCCGATCCATCCTGCGGGGATCGTTGGCTTCCTTTAAAACTTTCCTTTTCATGGAGCTCGTGGAGACGGTCCGGTGGCACCCCGTGTGATAGGTGTCGTCGGAGGGGTGCACCGAACCGGGTGACACCAACCCTAGGGACGCCCCTGGCCTTTTTCATGCATCTTGCAAACTAGTTGTTCCTCTCTATCCAAACTGCATTTTACTGTCCTTGAAAGAAGATCCCTTTTCCTTTTAGGATTACCCCAGTTTGTGGTAAAAGTATGGCAAATAAAAAATTATATTGCTTATACAATTGTTAAATAAGCCATATTTTTATTTTTAAAATGACTTTTTCCTTTCAATCTGCAGGGCTGTATATTTCTGTACAATTCAGTGCAATATACAAGTCAAATTTTAGCCATGCTCTGCATCACAATTTTAATTTTTGATCTGGGTTAGTTACTTCAAAAGGGATGCAGACACTTTTCTTATCAGAGCACTGAAAGTGCATCAGCTGATTATAATGAACCAGTCCCTCCTATTCAAAATCAGTATGCAATAGGCATGGTGAAACAAACAGCTGTTTCTTCAGAACAGGTAGGAATCTGCAATAAGGTTTGGTAAAATCTTTGCAATATACTTTGGTCACCCAGAGGGGATTGTTTTCTCAACAAAATGTAAAGTTACCTTTTAAGGTGTTGGAATACAGTTGAGTCTTGACCCATAGAAATTGCCCTCCTATGCTAGTCCATTCATTTGTGGAGAGATGTTTTGTCTCCCCAACGTGCAGGTCTTTGCATTCCTCAGTAAACTGTACTGCATACTACCAAGTTACTTTACTTTGCTTGTGTTTGGGTGTTGGGTCCTTAGGATGTGCAAGCTTCTGTCTCTGTGCATTC